ATATGTATATATATATATATCGCTTCAGCTAAACGAAGATGCGATCATCCACGGCCACCCGCCATACATCCGACATCTGTAGGGCGATCGAAATTGATCATCAGGTGAGTTCGATCTTACTCAAAAGAAGTTATGAGAACATTTGTGTTCCCATAATTGTCTCCCACCTTCGAACTATTTCGAGAGAAGGAAAGTATCTTCATTCGTTCTTTCTAAGTCATTCGAATGATATCTACCTATTTGATGACTTCTATTGGTCATCCTACATATGTCGGAGGCATGTCGGGTGACCGTACACAATCGAATAGTTATTTTTAGCCAGAATGATATAATTGCTGTTTTATATGAAAAAAGACGATATCTATGTCATTGTAGTTATGATTTGAACTGAAACACTTTTAAGTTCGTCAAATTTGTACTGAAATGATATGGATAACGTTATGTTATTTTGTTGATTTGATGCACAATGATATCATTCTCATTACGTATGCAAGGAAACGATATGTATGTCGTTTTAGTTATGATTTAAACTGGAACGATATAAATGTCATTAAAATAATACTGAAACGACATGAATGTTGTTATGTTATTTCGTGGATTTGACATATAATGATATCACTTTCTGACATATAAAAGAAAATGATGTATATGTCGTTTTAGTTGTGATTTGAATTGAAACGATGGTAATCACATAAAATTTGTGCTGAAATGATATGAATGTTATTATGTTGTTTAATGTGTTTGATACTAATGATTTGTCGTCGTTTTTTTAGAAATTGCACGAGAGAAGGTCTCCATTGAATAAAGACGAAAGTTTGGTCTCTTGGACGGGCGCGCACGACTCTCTACGTTGCATGCGCTGTGCAAGTTTTTGGGTATAACGACTATATGTCGTTTTATTGGTCTATAACGACTTAAATGTCGTTATGAAAATCGGTAAAGTTCGTATTGGAACGACACCGATATCGTTTTGTATCACATGAATGATTTCAATATCTTTATGTGAATCAACTAAATTTTTGTATTGGAATGATATTAATATCGTGTTGTGTCTCATGAACAATTTAAAGTCGTTATAAGAATCAGTGCATTTTTTTTGTATTGGTACAACATCAACATCATTTTGTATATCAGGAACGAAGTTTACGTCGTCACCTGAACCAATAGTTATATTTTGTCATAAGGACATAAATGTCATTTTATTTGTTTGGAACGATATTAGTATCCTGAACATGTATTAAGAATGGCAACGGGACGAGTCGGGTGGGGGGCAACTTCCCCCGCCCCCCGCCCTGCCCTGCCCTGCCCTGCCCTGCCAAGCAATTTCTCGCTCCATCCCTTCCCATTACATGTTTAAGGCGAGGCGGGGTGGGGCATGGCCCTTCCCTATTTAGTTTTTATATATATATAAGTTTTTGATAATTCATTTTATTACCCCCATTAATTAGTATATATATTTTAAAATTTTTATTTATTTTAAAAATTAAATTATTTAAATATATTTGGTAAACTAATGCTTTTATTATTTATCATATTTTTAGATAATTTTAGTTGCCATTTTCTATTAGAACTAACGAAATTTTGTGAAAATTTTCATTTAAAGTATTAAATTCTAAAAAAAAACTAAACGGAGCAGGGCACCCGTCCCGTCCCCGACCCGAATATCCGATTAAATAGATAATCCTGGCAGGGTTCGCGAGTATCGGGTTTGTCGAGTTTTTTTGTCATCCTTAACATGTATGATATTTAAATTTGAAAGTTTCAAAAACTTGAAAATATGTAAACTTCAATTCAACTACCTTAGACAAATAAAACAAAGTAACGACAAAATATCATCAAACATTAAAAGAATTAACAAAAAATAATCTAAGACTCGAAGTCCTATGCCAACAACTCTGTAGCCAAATTTTTCTGCCACATTGGTACACAATCCAAGCTGATTGCATTTACATCTATCTTTGATTGTATAAATTATATATACTTCAAAGTTAATATCTCGTAGTCAGATCTAGAAAATCGTTGTACAAGTTCTTTAATTCTCAAAACTAAAATAATAAAGTACCTAACAAATATAATATTAGTCAACTTTACTCATTTCTTTGTCGAGGAACATCTTTCACCTTCATAAATTTGAACTTCTTCATAATATATTTGTCATCACTAGTGACATGCAATTCTATCATCAAGGAAATAACCTCCTGTAGGGACAGTATATTTGGCAGTATATAGTGTAAAATTAAGAATGAATGTTACATGCATTATTTTAACAAGTAGTCTTGTTGTTGTGCCACACGAGCACTGGATTTCATTCCACGGTAATTAATACAGAGAGAATAGGATTATACCATACAATGCACTTGTGAAAACCGTTCTCATACAATATAAATGAAATAAGTTTAGAAATTCTCTGAATTTATGAAACGCTAAATAGGTCACGTGAATTCGTTTTTAGAGTAGTTCACATGAATTCTTTTTTACCATCACACTCAATTCATTGCTAGGTTTCAAAAAGATCTAAACATTTAGATACTTTACAACTACTTCGTTTTGAGTTTGTTTGCATGAAAACTATCTAAAGAACTATCTTTGACAATTATTACATTTGGATTCAGTTACAGAATTTTGTTTCGTCACCCCATTTGATTATCAAAGGTAAAATTCAAAATGATTTACATTGATGCACTTTTGTTGAGTTCTTTTCAAAGTCTTACATTTGAACTCCTAACTGCCATTAACTATATCAACAAGGAGTTAAAAACTTGTTTATCTTCCAGCAAAAACAACCATTTGAGCATAGAAATTGCCTAAGGAGACTAAGGACTTCTTTGGGAATGATTTTAATCCAATTAAAATTGAAAATATAGTCGTTATTGGGTCCCACCCGTCTAATAAAAGTCAACAGTAACGGCTAATTTTTCAATTTTAATCCGATTTTAATCCTTTCCAAACAAGCTCTAACGTGAAGAACAAAATTCTTATAGATTGTTTCAGAATCCATTTCTTCCTCGTGTTGTTGGTCACATCTTAAAAGACAACCAATATAGGAAAACACGGGTCTTGGAAAATTGCTCTAAACATCACCGTGTATGATACATATAGTTTAGTTAAAACCTTACTTATAGTATTGTCCAGTCCTCTTCAGTATTGCTTATTGAACATGCTTTGAGACCCGTAAAATAATACTTACCATACAAAAAAGGTAAGGTTTAAAGTCATATGCTAAATGAATCTTTCTCCAATTCTCAATTCTGTTCATAGATAACTATTGAAAGATCTAAACAAAACATGAGGCATCCAATTAACACCGAAGGGAAAAACAAATTGTGGCAGCTTCTTGTACCCATTTATAGATACTAGATATGTTTTATTAAATTTTAATAACCCATTTTTATCGGGCTATTCAAACGTACTAATTACAAAGATTAGGATAATTAATTCCCATAATCACTATGAATTTTAAAATATAAATAAATTATTTAAATTTATTATCATTATATCTCACATTTCTAATCAAAAATTAAAGCTAATTAAGAAATAATAAAAACAAGAAAATGCAGTAAAAAAAACTAGAATTTCAAATCGAAATAGAAAATTATAAATCCGTTCAAACAATCAGAAAAAACTAAAAAATAAATCGAGGCATTAAAAATTACCTATGTGTTGACAGAACTACTAGTGATCATTGGAGCAATAATGGTTGGAGACAGTAAAATCTACGAACTTTGAGGCCTCGATTTTCTCGTAAAATTCATCAGTTTTGCCCTTATCATCTTCCATGACTACGAAAGTATCTTAGAATCTCTGTTTTTCAATAATAACAATAATAATATATATGAATTCAAAAATTCTGTCATTTTAATTATTTGATTGAGTTTTTTGGGTATCAATGGAAAATGGTGATTAAGAATGGAGCATTTGTTTGTTGAAGAGGCAATAGAGCTAGTGAAAGAGAGCTTTTCAATTGGGGAATAAATAGTTTTTGACGTAAATAAATCTTCAATTCCTTATTCAATTTTGTTTTACAAGAGAAAGGTTGGTCTTTCTAAACTTTTAAATAATTAAATTTTATTTTACTTTTGATTACGGTCAAAGGCCCGTTGGACAAAAAGAGATTGATTGGTGGTCATTTGAACTCATTCCCCCTACTTTTTCACTTTATTTTCTTAAATTGAACTCGTAAAATTCTAGAAAAGCTTACTATCTAAAAAAGTAATTTTTAAACATGACCAAATATGTTTAGAAAAACAAGTATGATATAGATTGCGAATTTTTATTATTATTATTTTTTTTTTCTCCCTCACGAATGAACTACTGTTTGTTGGTTTTATCTTTGCTCTAGTATAGGGAAATTTGTCTTTATAGAACTCAAATAGTTATTGACAATCTTCACAAGAATCAAAATAATACATTCCACCAAACAAAAGAAGGGAAAGAAGCACCAAAATTAAACAAAATAAAATCCATTAAACTGATTCTTAAAACAGATAACTTATCAAATCCAATATTTAAACAAAGCCAATAAAAATGTAAATCTAAGAAATTAATAGAGTATAACTGAAACTAAGCTATTCAAGAACCTAATTTAAGCACAAGAAATTAAAGATTAATTAATTTCTGACAGAAAAGGAGAAAAAGAGAGAAGGATTTGAACCCGTAAGTTTAAGCTAAGACATTAAAGAATGATGAGGCAGAAACAACCAAACTAAAAAGAATTGAAAGGGTGGCATATGTGGCATAAGCTCCATTGCTTGTATGAGATGGAGCTGCAGCTTGATGATCCGCTGTTCCGCCATGACCAGAGGGGGCTTCCGGTGTTCCAGAATGACCGGAGGGGGCTGCCGGTGGCTTTGTCGGGGTGGGAATATCTGGAGACTGTGGAGGTGAAGCAGCTGTTGATGGAGTCTTAACTGCAGCAGACAAAAAGAATTGTCACTTGATATAGAAAAATGTGTCATTTTGATGCCTTTATTCGGTAGTTAAACTATTGAGAAATCCTAAAATTAAAAAGACTCCTTCAAATCTTCAATGTTAAGAGTATATCTAATAGAGAGATGCTACTTGTATATCTAGATTTACCACCTTGATGATAGAATGGGGAGGCGACCGTTGTTCATTGGCTGGTGGACATAAAACAAAGTTCCACCAGCCAATGAGATATTGCCACATTTGCATTCGGTCACCCGGATGTAAATCGGGGTGTTCGTGTAGCATCTCTCATGACAAATTGAACTAGAATTATTCGCATATAAATGTGCGTAGAGAGAGACCTTTGCAGTCAGCAAGCTTAAAAGAAGAGAGACCACATGCAGAAGGCAATTTCATAGCCTTAGTCATGTTGACATCAATACCCAAACTGATACTGCTCTTTAGGGCTCTGCAAATGCAGTCGGCATTCTTGTCCACCACCATCTTGAATCCCGAACAACACGACCCCACAGGCTTTGTTTCGATCCCACCATTGCCCAAAAATGTCATGCAATCCACCATATTGAAAATCAGGCTGATGCAGTCCTCGGTCGCCGGTGGAGCCAAGGCAGGGGCCGGACCTTTTGGCTGCAGCCGCACCGGCGTTCTATCTTGATTGTTCTCAGTGCATCCGGTTGCAACAGCAACCAAAATACATAATACTGTAAATGGAGTCTTCATGTTCTTTCAAATTGTAAACTAAAATGGCATTGAATTCTTGGTTCTTTCGAGTATTACTAGAATATATATGTTGATGTTTGTTTAAAGAATCCACGAAATGGTGGATTTAGTTTTATCTAATTTTTCATGGGGTACGTGTTTGTGATTATCTGTACCAAGTAATGCACATCCATTAATTTTGATAATTTAATTTACATATTTCTCCAAAAAAAATTAAAAATGGAGTCCATATTTATCAAGATTTTGATAACCCAAAAATAGAAGAAACTGGTCAGAAAATAATAAATATCCAATCAGAAATAAGGCTATACATTGTTGAATATTTAACTTGAGTATAATCTTAATGGATAATTATCCTACTGCAAGATTGAGGCCACTTGGCACGTTAAAAACCTGGACTGAAACTAGCCTAGGTCAGAGATGGTTCACGAGTCGGCC